TGATTTCTCAAAGAGTCATTAGCTTCCATTTGCTCCATTTTAATTTTTAAGGAATTATTTTCTTCAGTGAGCTTTTGGACCTCCTTTTCCATTTGGCCAATTCTGCTTTTTAAGGCATTCTTCTTGTCATTGGCTTTTTGGACCTCTTTTGCCATTTGGGTTAGGTTATTTTTTAAGGCGTTGTTTTCTTCAGTATTTTTTGGGGTCTCCTTTAGCAAGCTGGTGATTTGTTTTTCATGATTTTCTTGCATCACTCTCATTTTTCTTCTAGTTTTTCCTCTATTTCTCTTACTTGCTTCTCAAAATCCTTTCTGAGCTCTTCTGTGGCCTAAGACCAATTCATATTTTTCTTGGAGGTTTAGATGTGGGAGCTTTGACTTAGTTGTCTTCTTCTGGTTGTATGTTTCATTCTTCTTTGTCACCAAAGTAAGATTCTATAGTCTGAGTGTTTTTCTGCTATTTGTTCATGTTCCCAGCCAATTACTTGACTTTTAAACCATTTGTTAAGGTAGGGCTCTGCTTCCAATGTGCAGGGTGTACTGTCCCAAGCTTTGGGGGTTTTGTGCAGCTGTTTTCAGATATACTTCTAGATACTTGTAAATATTCAGTTCTTCCAAAGTGGGATGATCAAAGGCGAGGTGTTTACTCCTTTCCTGGCCTGTGCTCTGGTCTATGAGTGACCACAAGCACTTTTTTCTGCCTTGAAACTGTGAGGAGGATTCCCTCTCCACTGCTGCCACAAGCTCCATCCTGCCAGTGCTTCTCCTCGCCCCAGGACCACCACCCAGAACTGTGACCCAAATCCAAGCATGGATAAAGCAAGAGAATCCTGTCTCAGTGCCACCAAAGAGATCCCTGTAATTCCCCTCTGGTCAGCCACTTGATACCCCCACTGTCTGTGGGCCAAGAGCTCCAGAAGCAGCCACCGCCACAGCTGCCTCAGGGCTGCGCCAGGGCTGGCACCAGACCGTGTTCCTCTCTCACCCAGGTCCAATAGACCTTTCTTAATGACCTTCTAAGTTGTCTTTGGTGCTTGTGGGTTGAGAAGTCTGGAAACCACCACAGCTGCCTGTGATTCAGACCCCTGAGGCCTGCTCTACTAGGGTCCCATCTTTGCTGGTGTGGCCCATGCTAAATTACACTCCTCTCCCAGCCCACAGCAACAGACCTTTCCTATGGACCTTCCAGGTTGTCTTGGGCTGGAAATTTTTTTCCCTGCTTTTTTGTGGGTTCTGTTGCTCTAGAATTTGTTTAGAGTCATTTTTACAGGTATTTGGAGGTGTTTGGGGGAGAGCTCAAGTGAGTCACTGCTTTTACTCTGCCCCTTAGTATGTTTTTTAAGGTGTTATTTTCTTCAGTATTTTTTGGTACCTCCTTTACCAAGCTGTTGACTCTTTTTTCATTATTTTCTGCATCATTCTCATTTCTTCTCCCAATTTTTCTTCTACCTCTCATTTGATTTTTAAAATCCTTTTTGAGCTCTTCCTGGAATTTTTTTTTTGGCCTGAGAACAATTCACATTTTTTCTCTGAGGTTTTAGATGTTTTGACTTTGTTGTCTTCTTCTGAGTTTGTGTTTTGATCTTCTCTGTCACCACAGTAACTTTCTATGGTTCTTTTTTCATTGTGTGCTCATTTTTTCCAGTCTTTTCTTGACTTTTAACTCTATTTTAAAGTGGGACTCTGTTCCCAGGGTGGAGGGGACACTGTTCCAAGCTTTGGGGTTTTTGTTGCAGCACTCAGCACTAGTTCAGGGAAAGCAAGGGGGGAGAGGGGTTTTCTGTAAATTTTCAGTTCTTCCAAAGTGGTTTGATCTAAGGAGAGGTATGGTCACTGCTCTCCTGGACTGTGCTCTGGTATGTGACCAACTGTAAGCAGTCTTTCCCACCTTAGAACTGTGACCAGGGTCCCCACTACCCTATAGCTGCAAGCTGTGATATGCTAATGCTCCTCTTTGCCCTGGGACTGCAATTCACACCTGTGACCCAGATCTCTGTATGGGCAATGCAACACAGTTCCACATCCAGTGCCAGCAAAAGGACCCCTGTAATCTCCTTCTGACCAGTTGTTTGACTCCCTTACCATCGATGGGCTGAGAGCTCCAAAAGCCACTGCTACCACTGCTGATTCAGTTGCCCCCGGGGCCTGCTGCTAGCACTGGGGCAAGGCCTGTGCTGGCATAGCCTGTACTGGACTATACTCCATTCTCACCCTGGTGCGACAAACCTTCCTTCAGATCTCCTAAGTTGTCTTGAGGTATTATTTTAAGTTGTATGGAGGGGAATCTAGGAGAGCTTAAGTGATTGCCTACATTTTCTCCACCATCTTGGCTTCACCCTTCACCCCCCTCCACCCTGCCCCCAACTCTTTCTTCATGGCTGAACTTTTTTTTTCTTTTTCTTTTTTTCTCTCAAGGCAATTGGGGTTAAATGTCTTGCCCAGGGTCACACAGCTAGCATCAAGTGTCTGGTCTGAGGCCAGATTTGAACTCAGGTCCTCCTGACTTCAGGGGCAGTGCTCTATCCACTGCGCCACCTAGCTGTCCCCTGCCAAATCTTTCTTACTACCTAACTAGCACACATCCTTTGTTCTTTCATATATTTCATGGATGATATTCCTTATCATTGAGAACTGATGTGGAATCATGAAGACCTGGGTTCAAAAAAAATCACTTAATTTCTCAGTGCCCCTCAGACAACTCTCTAAGACTAGATATTATAGAATTATTGTGCTAGTAGAGGGTGTCTCCACACTAGGAATTTCCTACAACAATGAAATCATATGTTTGATCCCTCTAACCTCCCACTCTCCCATTCTATGTCTTATGTGTAAATAATTAGCAGAAATATGCTACAGACTGTACAGATAGATCAACCATCTCTTTACTGCTCTGTGGACCGTCCACAACTTTGATTCTTTAGAGATTATAATGACCACCTCCCAATTCCAGGCATTTTCACTGGTTCTCCCTCATGTCTGGAATGCTGATCTTCCTTATCACCACCTCCAGGATTTTCTGGCTTCCTTCAAGTCCCACCTTTTTCTTCTTCTTCTTCTTCTTTTTTTTTTTTTGGAGGTAATCACGGTTAAGTGACTTGCCCAGGGCCACGCAGCTAGTAAATGGCTAAAGTCATATTTGAACTCAGGTCTCCCTAACTCTAGGGCTGGTGTTCTATCCACTGTATTAACTAGCTATCCCTAAGTCTCACCTTCTTTAAAAAGCTTTTCCCAGTCCTCCCATACCTGAGTGCCCTCCCTTTGAGATTATATTAGCTCCAACTTAGCCTGTCTGTATCTTATTTGTACAGTGGTTTGGATATTGTCTCTCCCATTAGACTGTGAACTCCTTGCAATCAGGGACTGACTCCCCTCCCCCATCCCTAGTGCTTAGTACAGTACTTGACACATAGTACATGCTTAATAAATCTTTATTGACTTGACTTCTAAGATTCACAAACATACAGAAGCACTGGAAAAAACACCAAAACACCAGGCATCAAAAAGATGTTTTTTGTGGTCATGGAGCAGCTTACTTAAAAAGCACTGTACAATTTCCTAAATGTAATCTAATTCTTCTCTTTCTCATATTCCCTTTAATGGCAAGTTGGTAGAATGGATAAAGCCTTGGACTTTGAGTAACAATGGCCTGGATCCAAATCTGGCCTCAGATACTTACTAGCTGTGTGACCCTGGGCAAGTGACTTAACCTGTTTGCCTCAGTTTCCTTATCTGTAAAATGAGGTTAATAATCTTACCTTCCAGAGTTGTAAGGACAAAATGAGATCATATTTGGAAAATGCTCTGCAAACCTTAAAGTGCTAAGTAAATGCTAGCTATTATTATCATTATTTCTGGGCCCTGTTTGTTCTAGTTTTAACTATATTTTTTCCTACACCCATTAAGTTCTTGCCATATATCTCCAGCAGACTCAATATCTTTGTGCTGGCTGTCTCCCATGTTGTAGGATGTAGTCACTCCTCATTTACTTCCTTTAAGGCTCAGGCCAGGTACTACCTCATACAGAAAGTCTTTCCTGATACCCCTTGTAATTAGTTTACTCTCCCTTCTTGAAATTATATTGTATTTACTTATCTGTGACTATATTGTACCCTTCTAGTAAAATATAGGCTCCTGCAGGGCAAGAAGTACATTTTATTTTATCTTTATAGACCTACACTATTATAGTGCCTTATGACCAGCAGAACTTTCCTACCTCAATACAAACAGCCTTCTCACCCTTGAAAATGCCTCCTCCCCTGGAGTCCCTCCTCTAATTGGTAAGTTCACAGAGTCCGGGTCATCCACATCCCCTTCTCTCTAGGCTCAATTCCTATCTCTCTGGACATTTCCACCCACCCCCTACACCTTTACAAGTACCCCTCCCCTCTATTTCCCCTGCCCTTCCTGCTCCTTGTTATGTGTTATCTTCTCCTTTTAAACTGTAAGCTCCTTGAGAGCAGGGATTGCCTTTCTTTGCATGTATATGTACCCTACATGTAACACAGTTCTTGGCACATAATAAGTACTTGGTAAATACTCTATTTATCCATCCTTCTATCTATAATAAGAAGCAGACTTAATTAAGTGGATAGGAGAAGATGAGTGGAAGCATAATTCAAGAGTAGCTTCTTGCCTATATTTCACTGTAATCTACAAACAGATATACAAATTCTAGTCTGTGAAGCTCCCAAACTCAATAACAAGAATAAGGCTTAGCTTCTTCAGAGTTTAATCTTTATAATGCATTATTATTTTGGATACATCACAGATTCCCAGTTCAAACTTTGCCAACTGCAACAATGAAAATAACTGCCAAAGTCAAAAATAAATTTTCGAGTATTCAACATTTTGGTTTATCTAAGTCACCATTCTTTTATTAATACAACTAATCAAAAGCTGCTAACACATTGTTGGCACATGGTCTCTATGTTCTTAATGCCCAAAAGACATTTAAAAAAAAATTTCTTAATACTCAAATCTTGCTTAATTGTAGTAGCTCACCTTTTCAGATGTCTGCCCAGGAGATGAACTGCCCAAGTCCTCGTGCACACGATCCAAAAGCCAGAGGAGAAATTCCAGGGCATCATGCTGTGAATTACCTTGGAACTGAGAGCCATACTTAGAAACTGTGTTCTAAAAAAAAAAAAAAAGATGACCAAAATCATCCACTAGTACTGAACTATATGAAGAATTGAGCACAACCAAGAGGCTCCTCATATCTCTAACTAAAAAAACAAAAACAAACAAAAAATATCATCCTATTTCGGGAGGCAACAAGGATTAAGTGAAAGAAGGAATCATTTTTTTCCAGTATCTAGGCTAAGCCAATGACTCAATATAGTACTGGGGTTTCTATCTACCTAAAAGCCACAGTGGTGTTTAGGAAAAAAAAAAAAAAAAAGATAGCTAATAGATATGATGACCCCTGGAAATCAATTAATGCTTAAAAATTTGCATATAAAAACATGAACTTATAGTTATATATTAAATTTAAACATGATAGTCTCAAAACCGTCCTGCTTGACTGTGTTCCCTACAGAATTTCCTTCTGCTTTTATATTTCTTTAAAAAATCATTTATGCCATTTCCAAAAATGTATTTGTCATTCTTCATCTTCAGTCCACTACCTCTCTGTCCAAAAGTTGGTAAGCATGCTTATCATCAGGACTCTGGAAACATGATTTATCATTTCATTGATCAAAGATACTTTTTTGAAGATGACTAAAATATTGAAAGTAACAATATTTCCAACTAAGGAACTTATACTATCCTTTTACAACTCCAAAGGGAATTCTTTACACATCTTGGAATCTTTCATTTAAGACTCTTAAGGGCTTAGACTGGCCTCCATCCATTTCTGAGGACCTTTCAAACATGAAAGGTTTCAATGTTTCAATAACAAAAAAACCCCCAAAAAACAACCAACCTCAGAATCAAGTGGAATCCCTGTGATTTTTAATGCCTGAGCAACAAACAAGAAAAGATTTATAATGAAGCCAGTATTTAAATCTAGTAATCATTTTAATGCAATTAGACACTCTGGTTTCAATTACCAGTTGTATCACTACATATGACTTGTGTAACCTTGGGCAAGTGATTTAATAACTTGTCTGAACCTCAGTCTGATCATTTGTAAAATGAGGGATGTGACCTAGATGACCTCTAACACTTCCCTAGTTCTAACCTATAATCTCATGATCTTTCTTCCAAAGAATTCCTTCCAGTAAAATACAGGCTCCTGCAGGGCAAGAAGTACATTTTATTTTATCTTTATAGACCTACACTATTATAGTTTTAATCCATAAAATTCTTCAGCTCTTTGATTTCTATGTACTTCTTTCACACTCTCCTGCTCACCACCTCACACTAAGTTCATCCTTTGCGAGGCAGGATGTTTTCAGAAGGTTGAGCAAATTACCAAAACACTTCCTGTTGGACCATGAACCTGAGCATGAGTGTGGGTGAATGGCTCCAAGAAGAATTAATTAGCATGCCCTTCATGAGCAGTAAAATGATCTTAGGTGACAACCGTATTCACTGTGGAAGGGACTAAAATGCAGCCTTAATTATCTAAATTATGTCATATTTCCTTCCCTTAAGACCATCCTTCACTCCCAACTACTCCAATGTGGAGCTGTCATCTTACCAATGTGAATGCTTCCACCAATGATACAAATTTCAACCCATGTTCTTCCTGTGCAATTCTTTTTCATATCCTCCTACAAGTTCACCACAGCAGATCTACCCTAAGTGCTAGGGACCTACCTCACTTTTTCCTGACAGCATGAGGATGTTAGTTTAATGGAAGACATGAGCTATCCTTTGTTAACAGAACATCCCAATTCCCTCACACATCAATAAACATTTATTAAGCACTTACTGTGTGTCAGGCACTGTGCTAAGTGCTGGTGATACAAAATGAGGCAAAAGACAACCCCTGTCCTCAAAGGATCTCACAATCTAACCAGGGAAACAACACAAAAACATATTTATACAAATAAGCTATATATAGGATAAAGAAGAAATAATGAATAGAGGAAAGGGACTAGAATTAAGAGGGGTTGGGAATGGCTTTCTATAGAAGATAGGATATTAGTTGAGAGTTAAAGGAAGCCATGGAAGCCAGTAGGTGGAGATGAGGATAGACAGCATTCCAGGCATGAGGGACAGCCAAAGAAAATGCCCACAGTGCGCTATAGAAAAGATAAACAAATAGTGAATAAGAAATCAGTAAGTACCTTTATCCAGACTAGGTTTGCAAAAGGTGACACCCACTAAAGGGGGTGGGGGGAATAGGGGAGAATAGAGAGAAGAGACAGGGGGACAGGCAGAGGAGCCAGGGCAAGGCAGGTACAGAGCTGGTAAGCCTATGCTCTCACATACTCAGACTGATCAGTCACCTTCCCCTTCCCTTCTTTTTCCTCCTCCTCACCCCTGCCAAGGATCAGAGGATCTAAGTGCTCCCCAGATCAGTCTTCATGCCCTGGGAGCACTGAAAGTTTGCAGTTTCTGAACAGTACAATCCCTGATGGCCTCAAGGACCTCAGTATTCTGTACTCTGAAAATACAAATGAAACTGAGATCTCCTAGCACTTTCTGCACAGCATGCAACAGTGGAAAGAAAGGCTATATAATATAGAAAGACCACATAATATAGAAAGACCAGTCCACCATCTCATCTTTGTGTACAGAAGTGGTTAGAGCCTGGCCCAGGAAAAAAAAAGTCCCAATTCAGGAAGTTCAGCTAGAAATATAAATAAACAGAAGAAAATACTGACAATAAAGAAATTTTATGGTTCCAGAGATGTTCAGGACACAATTCAAGAGGAAAAGAACAACTCCATAGCAGCTATGGACAGAGCTTCAGATAGACGTCTATTAAAATTCATGAAAGAGATGAAAGCAGGGATATACAAAGGGTATTATAAATTAAAAGAAAGACCTAGAGAAAGGAAATGGGAGGAAAACAAATACAAAAGCTATAAAATATTACCCAAGTAACAGATTGTATGAAAATTAGAATGGACCAAAGAGAAATAAATGGTGCCATGTGACCAGAATATTATAACAAAATCTAATGTATTAATCTTAATGTATTAAAAGTAGTTAATTATAAAATAGGTCAAGAAGAGATCATCTAAAAATCATCAGACTACCAGAGTGAAAAGTCACCTAGATACTATATTTTAGGAAATCATAAATGAAAGCTGCCTAGACCTATTTAAAACAGAGGACAACAAGAAAATAAGAAGAATCCGCTGGACATCTAGTGAAAGAAAACTTAAAATGAAAACTCCTACGAATGTTGTAGCCAAAATCCAGAGCTTCCAGGCTAAAATAAAAATGCTGGGAGCAGCATAAAAAAAGAAATCAAGTACCAAGGAACCATAGTCAGGATCATGTAAAACTTGACAATACTATAAAAGAGAAGAGGACTTAGAATATAATATTCCAAAATGCAAAAGATAAAGTTTTATAACTAACCTGGCAAATCAAATATCATCCCTAAAGAGGAAAAATGGATTTTTTTAATGAAATAGATTTACCAAGCATTCCTGATGAAAATACTAGAGCTGAGCAGGAATTCTGAAAAAGTAAACAGAAGAATCAAGAGAAACTAAAAAGGTAAATTGGAACAATTGGAAGAGGTTATTCAATGAGGATGTATTTGCCTTCTAATGAGGGGAAAAGAAATAAGAGTAACCTCAGAAGCCCACTATATTGGTGTTGTTCAGTCATTTCTCAGCTGTCTCTGACTCTTTATGACCCCACTTAGGGTATTCTGGGCAAAGATACTGAAGTGGTTTGCCATTTCCTTCTCCAGCTTATTTTACAGATAAGGAACTGAGGCAAATAGGGTTAAGTGACTTGCCCAGGCTCACACAGCTAGTGAATGTCTGAGGATGGATCAAAATACTCAGAAAGATGAGTCTTTCTGACTTTTGACCTGGCACTTTATTCACTTTATCCACTGCTTTATCCATCTAGTTGCCCTCAAGAGTCACAGAAGGTGCTGAATACAACAAACAGAGCAAGTGATTGTGGTTTGGTTTTGCCTTGATGATCTTAAATGAAGAAAGAAAAGGAAGAAAGGAAGAGGAAGGGAGTAGAACCTTTCAGGATACTATTAGGAGACACCTGTTTTCCAGAGCTATGGCCCAGCAAGCAAGCTGCACCTTGAGTTTGGCATAACAACAATCCTTTGTGCTCACCCTCTGGATGAACTCAGCCATCGCAAAATCCCAGAATGGTTTCAAACCAGCACCAGGAGTTGTCTGAGCTCAGATAAGTACTCGCAGTACCCATGTTCTGGTCATGACTTGTCTCATTGTTGCTAATACCCCTCACAGTCATGACTACAGCTCACTACGTAGCCATTGGTTTATGTACTGAGATTTGCTCACACTAATGTGGGTTCCCCGCTAAAGGGTTAGGGGGGAGAGAGGAGCCGGCACATGTATCTAGTTTCCCTCCTTGCTTGCAAGCCATTTCTATCACTATAGAAAATAAACTTCTGTCTTAGTCTCTGCATAGATGCTCTTGCTGGCTCTGTCTGTTCAGTTCCAGCCTCCACAGGCCAAGAGGTTTGGTCTAGTTGACAAACATAATATTTCACATAATCAAGGTACATCAGTAAAAGACTAGACAAACATGAAGGAAGTAGGTATCACATGAACCTCACTTTCACCTGAACTGGACAAAGGAGAGTTGAACACAAACACATACACAGAGTTTTGTGTAGGAAAAAAAACAACCACCATAAAAATCAACAAGGAAATAGATGAAAAACAGGAGAAAGAATTAGAGGGTTGGTAAGATGAGAGATTAGTCACATGCTAAATAAGAACCAATTTTAAAGGGTGGATAGTGAAGGGAGAGATTAAAAGGAAAGAAAGAATGGGCAAAAATCTGTAATTGAGATCTAGGCAAGAAGAGAAATGAGTCAGTAAAGCAGAAGCAGAATGCCTAGAAGTGCTGAACACACACACGCACTTATTCATTCATATTCTCTCTTCCCCCCCTTTCTCTTTCTCTGTATTATTCTTTGTAAAGAAAGGAAAAGTAAAGAAATGAAGAAATGTAAGAGGATAGAAGGATACACAGAATTAACAATAACTACCATAAAGGTGAAT